TTATTTTCGATACAAAGTTCCATCCTTTCTAACAGTTTATGGAAAGTCTTTTCAAACTCTTTTATTGGAATATTCTTCACTATGGTGGAAACCTCGTGAGCCAGCGATTCTTCATTTGTGTGATCATTCAACTTGCTCTTGATATAATCATTTAGACAAAAGTCACACGGTGCAAGATCTGGTGAATGTGGTGGATGTGAAATTATTTCGATATCTTCCTTTTCTAGATAATTAACAACATCTTGATGAGTATGAGGACTACCATTATCATGAAGCAGTTTATATTTTGTGAGTGATGATTTTTCTTTTTTTCTTATTTCATTGATAACAGGTATGAGACAGTTTTCAATATAGTAGTTGTGATCGATAGTATTGCCTTTATCTACTTTATGTATAAGGACAGGACCAGTGGATTTAAAGAATAGACAGAAAAGTGTTTTAGGTTCATATCTATTCCGACGAACAATGGTCCTTGGTGGGTCACTTTCACCAACCCAGGTAGAATTGCTTGACTTCCGACCAATCTGTCTGTGATAAATCCACGTCTCATCGCCGGTGATAATATCACATAATTGCCATGTTCCGTTCCTAAATTTCTCTAAATTTTGACTACAAATTCGAAGTCTTTTTTGTTTTTATTCGTCAGTAAGTTGGTGAGCAACTCAACGTGATACAACTTTTCTCATCTTTAGATGATCATGGATAATTCGTTCTATTGTACCACGCGATAGATCAGTCTTAACAATAATATCTTCATAAGTTGAGTGGGGATCATCTTCGATAACTTGTCGAACACATTCAATATTTTCAACTGTAAGAATTGAAATCGGACGACCAGATCGAGGATCATCACTGACATCTTCTCTTCCTTCACGAAAACGTTTTGCCCAATTTTTAACCATTGAGTATGATGGAGCATCAGGTCCCAAAGCTTCTGTAAGTTCGTCGAAGATTGTTTTTGGATTTATTCCCAAAATAACTCGAATTTCGATATAGTATCGATTAAATTCATCAGTCATGTTTGATAACTTGTTTTGCAATTGAAATCAAATTTTATCACGATCTGGAGTCGGGTGCGGTACAAATGAACTGACAGTGAACAACCTCTCATTTATATATACTATCGAAAGGTAATGTTCTAGATCATGACGTCATTAAATGTAACGGGGGAGAAAGTGATCAATGGGAAATATGAACAGTTCCAGAATATACCTTAACATTGGACAAGGAATAGTTAAATATTAACATAGTCGCTAAATTATGAACTTAGTCTCGCAGAATGTCAGAACAAAATCCAAGATAGAGCAGCTCTATAGATTATTAAAGACAAGACGTGATACTATATATTCCCATAATAAAATATTCAATATTTACTGTTTTCAAAAATTTTAAACATCGGGCCACGAACTTTTGGTACGCCCTAAGTATATTAGGAAGGATCTTAGTACAAGCATTGTGTAATTTTAAGAAGGATCGTAGTATATACATTGTTGGATTCCAGGAATAATCCCAGTTGAAACAGTTGAAGTCCTTTAGACTCTTGATGACATCCTGATGCACTCTTTAGAAATTTTGATGACATCATGGTGGAATCTTTTGAAAATGTCGATTCAATTTTTGGAAAATCTTTATAAATCTTGATGAAATCTTTGTGAAATCTTCAGAAATCTCGATGAAATCCTTGAGAAATCTCGATGAAATCCTTGAGAAATCTTTATAAATCTTGATGAAATCCTTGGGAAATCTTCAGAAATCTGGATGAAATCCTGCAGAAACTTTTAGAAATCTCGATGAAATCCTTGAGAAATCTTTAGAACTGTTTATGAAATCCTTAGGAAATCTTCAGAAATCTCGATGAAATCTTTAGAAATCTTGAGGAAAATTGTATGAAATTGTCAGAAATCTTTAGTAAATCTTTGGAAATTTTGAGAATGCTAGAATGAAATCTGTGTGAAATGTTGACTGAATCCTTGTGCAATCGAAACAGACTCAGCCAACTTCTGATGAAATCCGACTGTATTCTGTCGAAGCCTTACGTTATCAGGCGTTTCTCTGTGAAAGGATCCTGGTGGTTACGGCATTATCTGACAAACAGTTGTGACAGGAACCGATCGGATCCTTTCCGACGTAATCCGTTAGTTAGGAATCCTGTGAAATACGGTTGGGTTCCGATCGGATTTAGTCGGGAACCCGACGAATTCCGGTGTGATCCGACATCGGATCCGATAGTTTCCGGTAGGATCTACAGGTCGGATTGAATCACCTGGGTATGACAAAATAATAGCATCCCAAGACAAGCAATCCTTGCACAGGATTTCGGTCAGGATTTCGTCGGAATCCGATAAAAACTGACGAAATCCGACAGAATCCTATCGGGTTTTCCACGTGTCCGATCAGATCCGACAGACGGAATCCGGCCCATGGGATTCCGACAAAAATCCAACAGGATACAGACGCAATTATTTGAATCCGACGGGATCCGACCGAGCGAGAATCACCTGGGATATGATCAACATCCACACAATGAAAGCTATCAGTATCATCCGCAGATATTCAGTCAACATCATAGTAAAATTCTCATAACAGATCAATGCATGAATTTGAATTAGAAAGATCAATCGTATATAACACGAAGACAAAAAAAAACAGCAAATTTTTAAAAAAATGCAATAAAAACTAACTACGTAGCAAAATTCACAGCAAAACATACCGGTTCAAACACATCAACTAGCTGCATTAAACGAGAATATCAGCACGCCACTTGAAAAAGGAAAAACACAAACACAAATGTGTCAAAATAAGGACAGATAAGATATGATTCACGACAAAAATCAACTTCAATGGCAAACAAACATGCTCGCACATTAAACGACAGTGATGACTTTATCACAACAGAATCAAATAAATCGAAAAAGAGAGTTCATAATAACAACTACGAGCAGTACAGGCGAGAACAACGATCAAGTACAAACACAGGTTCAACTAATAATAAAAATAAATATAATATACCTGTAGAACATCTACAACGAGCCGTCTCTCACAATCTACCCTGCTTCTCCATTAATTTTCATCAGTCAGTTAATCTACCTTCAACATTAACACCAGCCAAAGACATATGATGGGGAATATGAATTTGCGGCAAAATCAGTTTCACGAAAAAAAAACCAATTTGTCACAAATTCAATTATGCAGCGGTATAGCGGTATAGCTGTATAGTGGTATAGCGGTATAGTGGTATAGCGGTATAGTGGTATAGTGGTATAGCGGTATAGCGGTATAGCGGTATAGTGGTATAGCGGTATAGTGGTATAGTGGTATAGCGGTATAGTGGTATAGTGGTATAGCGGTATAGCGGTATAGCTGTATAGTGGTATAGTGGTATAGTGGTATAGCGGTATAGTGGTATAGCGGTATAGTGGTATAGCGGTATAGCGGTATAGTGGTATAGTGGTATAGCGGTATAGTGGTATAG